GTACATTGTAAATACCACGTGACCATCATCGCAATGACCTTGGACAGAGATGTAAACACAATCGCTCATGGATATCACCGCAATAAGTACTCGCCAGAGAAATGCTACATAAAATCGAAGATTGTTATTATGGTGGTATCAATGGGGGTATATTCTCCTAGAAGCTGCATTAGTTTCTAACGGAAACCCTAGTTCTTAGGATCTTACTGCAATATCTTGGGACTCTAGGCCCACATTCCCATCCGTACCCGTGCCTGCACCCGTTATTATGTTTAATGGCCATGAACCCTCGATCATGCCTACTCATAATTGTGTACAAAGTGTGCCTCTTACATTTTTACTGAAACAAATAATATCCTTTCCTCTACAAACAGTGACGAGGAGATGCCATGGAGATGAAGCCAGAACACTAAAGAAATTAATTTTTTATGAGTCGTCTGAATAACCTCACGCATGGAAAGTAGGTGTCTTAGGAAGTTATTATACATTCTTTTAACCAAATACTTTAGGAATTAGAACACTCAAAATCAGGAAAAACAAACAGAGAACATTTAATTTCTTGATTTCACAAGGAACTCAAAAAAAATAATTATACAAATTGTCTTTCACATAAAACTTGATGTGACAACAATACAAGAAATAATCTTCGTTTCCTCGAGCGATTCTGTGTAAACTCTGTAAAAATAGTTACAAAACTAATAACAATATTTCGATTTTAAGGCTGACTTTTGGCTTTACACTATACAAATTACTGATTAAATCTTTCATTTCCTTCATGAAATGCATAAAAAATATGCTTATATACATAACACGTGTGTGAATAGACACATAACAGGGTGCTTGTACACAGAACATGGTCCGGATTCATTGCAATTGCACCTATCCTCATGCAAACCGCTAAGCAAAAATCTAAGGCTGGCGAGAGGCTGACGGCCTTGGAGAGTCATTATCTGACCTTCCCATCAAAATAAACAGCGTACAAAACCGATCTTATCTGAATTCCCCGAAACAAGAACCCCAAATGTCACTGACCTGAAACTGTTGGCTTTTACGTAAATATATCTCACAAATCTACTCGGCGTATGGAAGCGGTTTGAATTTTCTCGCCGTCCCCTACTTTTCAGCTAACATGGCTTAAAGGTTTCAAAAGAAGGGAATATGCAGCTTATTCTGCAAGGAAAAGGAAAAAAAAATAATAATAAAAAATTAAAAAGGAATCGCAACTTCTCAGTGACGAGAAAAAAAGCTTATTCAGCTGTTAGGCAACGAGAGGCATCAGAAGTCGTAAAACTTTGCATGGGATCCTGTCCGCTGTCGGCGAGCAAGGACGTTATCTAGACCCTGACTTGCAGATCTTTCGTGCCATCGTGACGTGCTTACTATTACAATATTAACACAAAATGTATACTTTTACAAATTTGCTTCAGAGATAAATTTATGTTAAAGTCTAAGTACTGTATTTTGCCAATGACGTAACTCAATTTCTAAAAGAGTTAACATAGTAATATTTATTTACCACTGGAAAACATTTAGTCGTGTTTTAAATTAATATCTGGAATGTGTGCCACACAGGTTCCTTGAAGCAATATGTCCTATCATCCAATGTCCACGATGGGCCCGCATACGCCGAAACATTCGGCTGGTTTAGATAAATTTCCGTTTTGTGTATTAAAATATGTGCGCCTGCCTTCATACACCCGTTCAATCACACTTTTAATGCTTATTTCTGGACAAAAATAATTCAAGATATTTTCAAAACAGTCAAAATTTAAAACCTCTTTAACAAAGGTAACAACAATTAAATTCAAAATAGTCCGCAAATTTCTCTTTTGTACGTTTTCTCAAAAATATTAAAGACTTTTCTATTCACCAATGGTAACTTTTCTCAGAAAAAAATATGTGCTTTCAGACTATCATCATGGATTTCGAAAATTAAAATCTACGAAAACCTTATTTTTTTTCTTAAAATTTTGTCTTCATCATTGGATCAAAGTAATTTACATATTGAAATATTTTTAAATATTTCAAAAGCTTTTGACGTCATTGACCATATTATTTTGCTTTTATATACAGACTATTTATTCATATGGAATTTTGGGTAGTGCACTAAATTGGATGTCCTCGTACCTCAAACATCGGTCGCAAAGAGTAGAAATCCCATACGGCTCGAAAGGAACATTATTTCCATGTATTTCCAATTCCTTACCAATTAAGCATGGGGATCCGCAGGGTTCAATCATAGGATCTGTCCTTTTTCTTTTATACATAAATGACTTTTCTTCGTCAATTCGAAACGGAGGTCTTTTTGGTCACAAATAGTCTTTTGCAAAAAAGAAAGAATAAATAGTAGGATTTCAGATTGGTCAATTGGTTTCTTTTAATGACAAATTAAAAGATAGCGAAAAAATTATCAATGCAGTTTTGCATTTCAAACAGGAAATCGACGAGCCGTTAAAAATGAACAATATGAAATTGGTTGATGTAAAGTGTTACGATGTGAGAAAATAAATTCGTTCTAGTTGTGTGAACTCGTAGCCAAGGACAATTGAGAAATGTAGCGTCGGTTAATACGAACGCGGGTTTTAAAAAGGGGGACAGGATTGTAGGCCGAAAATATTAACGTGAAATTCTGGTTTTAAAACTCAATTAGTTGCGATTTCAGGATATTGGAATTTTGGCGAAACCTTGGGGAACGTACTTCAGCAATTTCTTCCTGGTTCTAAAGTAAGGAACACGGTATCCGCGGAAGAGGGGAAGGTAAAATTCATCGATTTCACGAACAATACATTTGCTTATGTTTGAACTTAAAGTTTTCTTCTTTAAATTACGTCAAGAGAGAGACCAACGTAGAGCGACGTTTGGTGAATGGCAAGCTGCACAGCTGTAGCTGAATTTATTGGTTCAAACGATTATTCGCGACGGTATTCACGTGTACGTATGCTGTTGCAGGAACATGGAATTCAGTAATTTGAAACATGAAGGTTGCATTTCTATGCCTCTCAATTCAGTCAGATCTCAAATACCCATGTAATTGAATTGTCCACTAAATTAAGTTCATTATGTTACACATTTAGAACTCCATATTCAGTCGGCCATCGTGCAGCTGTTGCCTATAGTTTGCCAATGTACATTCCCGCCTGAGATAAAGCATAATATTCTGGCAAAAACACACATTTTAGTACCTAGACGTTAGGAACTCAAATTGTGATACTAAGAAGAGCCAGATCTGCTCCGGCACATCTTGTGAAATGATCGTCAGGAGAAGCGTAGAGTAACCTAAGTCTTTCAATGAGTACAGGCCCGATACTCATAACCAGAGGTTGGATGTTAGACAAAAAGCCTAAAGCCTATGTATTAGAGACATCACATCAATCGCCTAATGCAAGCTTTTATGACGGTGTTAGTGTTGCATACGTAACAAATTTAATTTTGTCGATTTTCTTGAGAAATACATATAGAAACGAAGCTGTTTTGAACTCTTGTTACGCTCTTGTTATGCTGTCTCTACTCATAACAATTTGTGGATGCGAATCCCGCTGACCTTAGTAACTGAAAATGACATGAGTCCCTGGCTTTCACCTTCCCATTAAAGTATATATTGTGAAAACATTACACTCGTTGGTCTAAGCACAGGCGTGTGGCATCTAATTTTCTCTTAAAGTAGTTTTAAAGGTTCTTACGCTCTAAATAAATCATTGCTATAGATTAATGAAAGATCTAACCTTCCCCATGGCCCTCGGCTTTATAACTTTGCATTGGAAAAAGTTATTTCATTGTATTATAGTGTGTATTTCAGAGTTGAAGTGGTATGCCCGTTATTTTTATTAAAGTATAGTATTTTACTACACTTAAGTGCAGAACAAATAAAATTTAATTAAAACATATTTTACTACAGAAAAAATAAAATGATATTATTTTTTTAATTTTCTGTGTTTCTTTTTCAGTGAAAATCGACCTAGAACATGGAAGCTTGCTCATGATGAACTACCCTACGAATCGTTACTGGTATCACTCTTTACCACCTAGGAAAAGCAGCCCAGGTGTTCGTCTCAACCTTACTTTCAGAAAAATGGCAGAGAAATCTAATCAAAAATGATACTTATTTCTTGAGGCTTTTCCTCTTCATTATAAGTGCATAATGCGAATTTTTGTTTAATGCTTTGATGTAATTCTTAAAATGAAGTAGACCATGTTCAGTTTGTTCAGTTATTAATAACTTTGATCTTCAATCTTTGACCTTAGTGGCCAGTGACTCGACTTAAAGAAACCTTTCATAATAAACTCTATAAGACAAGATATCTGAAAAATAAAACAAAAAAATATTGTAACAAATATCAATGAGTAAAAATTGCAAATATATCAACTCAGGAAAATGAAAGTCATAACAATGGTAATTTTATTCGACCATGCAATTAAAATATTTGTGTTATTTCAACATTAAACTCATCTAGTGATTGCTACCCGACTCCTCATTCCATATGTATTTCTTCCAAAGGTTGACTCCACCTTTTCAGTCATAACTTTCCTTAGGACACCCTCAGCATAATCTACCCCACGGGAGAATGATATTTCAACTCGACGAGTTTGATTAACGTCGGAATACAAACAGAATTCTGGGGGAATTTGAAAGCTGGTATAAATGCGCTGGGCATCTTAATCATGCAATTTTCATCCTTTTTTGTACAATTAATCGAAGACATATCGCCTATTTCTTATTTGTTCCTCGGTATCTATTATCGTCTCACGTTTCATCTGGCATCTCAGAACGAAATCGCTCGCCTTTCACCAAGGAAGTGCGGTTTCGATTCCCGGACAATCTCATGTGAAATTTGTTCCAACAAAACCAGTTTGGTTGCTTCACAACGGCTAGTCCAACCCTGTGAAATATTCTAAACCCTATCCCAATCCTAATTCCATCCCAATTTCTGGCCGCTGGGTAGTGACTCAGAAGTGCGTAGTAGGAGGCGCGTACGCGAAAATGCTACCCGGCGGTCCTCTTGACAAATGATTGCGACGAAAAGTGACGGATATAACGATGTAAAATTAATGAGGAATTACTCCTGCGCTGTTGTTAATGGAGGATTACTCCTAAAGCGCAAAGGTCTCAACGCCCTTCAATGAGCTTGGAGACGCGTTGCGTAAATTGAAGACGTAACAAATTAAAAAATATAATGAATTCGTGTTGTATGATGCGCTGATACAAGTGTTTAGAATGATACTCTTTTCCATATTCAATAGACTAGATTCTATTCAATTTTCTGACTTCAGAATATCACCTTGTTTGTCATTTGGATAGTCGTTAGCCTTTTCCCAATGTCTGGAAAATTATCATATTTTCATGTGTTAAGACGTCAAACAATGACATTCGTTCACATTCAAGATATTTGCGTTCCTGGTGATATATGACAAGTTTTGGATTTGATTAACAAAATAGCCATCATATTTCAGATGGAAAATTCGAAGTTTAATATTCCTTGTTTGCATTGAAATTTAGAATTGGTTCATTTTATAGATGTAATTCACAAATATAGAAATAATTCTAGTACATTTTGATAATGATTGTTTCGAAATGTTTGGGGTAAGCTTTAGCTCGATTAAGAATAGGTACCTGGACGAAGCACATTGTTGCAACTTACCTGACAGTGCGAAATAACTTACCTATAGTATTTGTTCTCCATATTATCTCTTTGACCATTTCAGTATAGGTTTTAGACTCACCTGTCTGACTAATGGCAATTTGAATTACATGACAGTACGGAGCTACTCATTTATTTTGAAGATTAACTAGTTTAATCGCTGTTATCTCTTTCGGCTTCCCTCTATTATTTATAATACAATAGTTATTGTCTCATTGCAGTCGAAAGGACCGTTGTCTTATATGCAGCCACGTGTGCATAGGAAACTTTACACCAGCATCTTAAGAATTTTGAACGCTTGGAATTATCTTATAAGTAAGAACTTTTTTTAATTACAATGTCTAGGAATTATGTTCAATACATTGTTTAAACTTCGCATTTTGCTAGGTCTCATCATTACGTGCTTTGCTTTCAATAAAGATAAGAAACGAGTAAGCTATGAGTCTAAAGCGGCAGTATATATTTGCATAACAACATAAAATGTATCATCTAATCATTACATTTTAACTAACTATTGTTAAAATCCAAAATGACACTCTAAGGCTAACTGAAATGTTTTGCCCATACGTTGCCCATACGTCACTCAAAATTACGGGAAAGGTACTGAAATTTTCAAAAAAGGGTACATGAAAATAATTAAAGAACTGATTATGGAGAGCAAATTTTACTTGAAAAAAAAATGCCTATTGTCAATATGTATTGTAATTGTATGAAGACACTGAACAAATTCCAAACTTTTGCAGTTTTGGAAAATTTAGTGTCAACAATGAAAACCAAAACTATATCTTCATAAGGGTATTTTGCTTTATTTTTTAAAGAATCTTAAAAAATTTGGAGCCATTTTTGAGAACATTTTGAAAATATCCCAGGGCTTCGTGTAAAGCAATTCCAAAGTTTAAAGGGTTTTTAAAAACACTGAGTTTTGCGACAGCCCATATCGACCATGGAGTATTTATTTTGGAAAATATTCTACAAATAGTTTAGACGCTTTAGGCGAAACCATTTTTTTACTATCAAGAACCCACAAATCGTGTCTTCTGACTACACATTGAAGAAGAACAGTGTGAAGTGAACACAGTGATAGAAGATATAATTTACTACTTATTGAACCTAAATTATCCACTTTTTCTGTAGCATCCAAGTTTTCTGTCGAAAAATAGTTGTTTTTTCTGCAGCATTTCATAGCTTTCTCTATACTACGTATATTACTCGGTATACGAAACGTAAGTACACGAATACGATAAACTAAAAATGTGTGGCTACAACTCCTCTTGGGGAATGTTTTTTCGGGCCATATTCACTATCCATTTAAGAATATGGTGTCCGAGAATCTAATCCGAACTCTTCCAGAAAGCTGTTCTGGAGAGTACATTCTTTAAGTGTATTATTAAAGAAAATATGTACATTCGCTTACTCCTATTCTAGAACAAAATGCTCTATGTTTGTAGATTTATTTATACTAAAATAAAATTTCGTAGTTAAAATTATCCTACAAAAGGGGAGTATCCATTTAGGGTTGACGTATATGCTGCACATAAAAAAATTATGCTACAAAATGATAATTATCCTGCCCAGTGGCAACACTGACAATTAAGCTTTTCCTTCCCAATGATCCAAGTCCTATACATTTTCTCTAAACAGCGGTGACAGGGCGATGCAATTTCGATCGCTTGGGTGCCGTGGGCCGCCTATCCTGGCACGAACATTTAGCTGTTATCACAGCGAAGCCCTGCGGGCTCTTTCTTGACGTGGCGTAGAAGATTTCGAAAGAAAGATTCACAGGCGAGAAAGAGCACCAGAAAGTATTTTTTGTTTTTCAGGCTTTTTATTCGCGTTTTGAATACGCTGATTCTATCAGTAGCTAAGTGTCATAATTTACTTAATATCATTTAATTAATTAATTAATGTAATTAATTTACTTAATGTCATTATTTACTATGAAATAAATAAACCATAAAAGGAAAACGAGATTATGACGTTAATAATATGATAAGATTATGACTTAATACAATATTATGAATTTAACTATGCAGTTTATTTTATTTTGAACCATTTTTAAGATTGCCATAAAGTTTGAGAAGCCTCTTCCCCAAATTGTCAGCTTGAAAGAGGGAAAAGTAGGAATTTATCATACTTACGAAAATAATATGTTTTATTACCTTGGAGTAAGGGCCCCCTGCTCCCACCCCGCGTACACACGCATGTTATCATGAACAACTGTGTACCCATAAATTATTTGTTTCTGACATTGGTCTTGCAAATGAGTCGTTATACTCCATACTGTTAGTCTCATTTTCAAAAATTATCACCTAAAAAATTATATAATTTTGAAAATCAAACATAAACCCCAAGAAAATTTTTTAAAAAAATAACGATTGGCTAGGGAAAAAAAATTTTTCAACAAGATACATCAAAATTCGTGTGACACCAAACTGAAAGATAATTTGATGCGTTGAGTGCCAGAACAAAGAATGACCGGTGAATGTATCTTATCACCGCCAACATCTCGACGTTCTTAAATTATCGATACCGCATTGTTGCAATATTTCTATTAAGCTTTGCAGATTGCTGAAACAGAAAAAAACATCAATTCAATGAGAATACAAATTGAGTAAAAATAAAAAAGCCAAAGTGTAAAAATAGAACTAATATTGTCATATTCAGTAGTAAATTA